AAATTCATTTGCCACACAAAGTTCCCCTCAGGTAGGTCTATGTCTCTTTTTACCATGTATAATCCAACCCCTGACTGGCATCCAATTTGCTTTAAGGATTTCTGGACAGGCTTTGCATTTACTTAAGTGTGGAAAAGTGTAGGTAAATTGAGACCATTAATTCTGGGTATGTATCTCTTCCCCAAATACGTGTGCAAGGCTTTTTTGTTATAGCTCTGTGGTGACTGAGGTGGTGTGATTGGTTCCTTGGGATGGCAGTTCCATCATTGCTCAGAACCACTTCTGACCTCTGTGACAAAACTTTGTGTGAAGGGAACACTTTTTGTGCCGTGTTTGCTTTAAATCCAAGAACAAAATTTAGTTCATGAAAAGCCATTTCTGTGACTGTTCTTCTGGAAAGGCTTGATGGTCTTAGATCTTTTGAGGCACTTCCAACTGGTGAACATCCAAGTAACATCCTAGAAGTAGCATTATCTTGGGCAACCTTTGCCAGCCCAGCTGGAGAGACCAGGGCCCTGAAGCCAGACTCCTCCCTCTCTCTCCAAGACTGTCCCTTTCAGAACAGAGGTGTATCAAAGTCACAAAAAGGAGAAACTGGGTATTTCAAATGCTGTTTCTGTCCTGGTACTGAACACACCTTTGCTTTTTTCCTCTGTGCCCTCAGCTCAGAATATCCATAATGACAATAACAGTTCTGTGACCAGCACTTTTCAAACCCCAAGGCCACTTAAGTCCCTACATGGTTGTAGAAAAATCTCAGCTTTTCACAGCTCTCATTACACAGAGGCTGGATGAGTTTCATGCTACCATGTTAGAATATTAACTGCTTAGATATCATGGAAAGTTAAGAATTTAACTGAATGAGGATCCCTGGGAAGCTAAGGAGGAGTTTCACAGACTAAGTCATTTCAGTAATTCCATTCAGATTATTTTTCAAACATACATGACAAAAGTCAAACCAATACAAGTGACCCTACACAACATTATAACTGAAACCTGAAGCAGCTGTATTAGCAACCTTATATTGCAGTGAAGAGAACACTTTCATTCACTAGTTTTTCTTTCTTTCCTTCCCTGCTTTTTAAGTGGCAGTTCAGAGCACACAGCACTCTGCAGGATGAGACCTCTTGTGAATGATCCTCCTCCCTGTCCTGGGAATTACACATTTCCTTTCCCTGATGTGCAAGCACTGAGCACAGAGGACAAGTGGCTTTCTCTCACCTATAAAGGGGAGCTGCATTTTAGTCTCATCCCATTGCAGATCAAAGACACGACACTGGGCTGTGCCTTTCAGTCAAACAAGGTGTGAATGGAGATTTAGGAAATGTATATTGATAGCATCTCAAGAGTTGTTACCATCACCTGTGGAGAAAACAATTGTCTGGATCCTGAAATATCAACTGAAATATCAACTGAAAATGCTTTCATGTTGTCTTGACTTCAGGGAAAAACTGTTCTGATGTTCCTTGAGCTGGAAATGAGGTGATAAGTAGGGTCGGGTCCAAGTTAGTGGGAAAGCAAGTCCGACTTGCTTAGGGAACTTGCATCCAAGTAAAAGCAAAAGCCATCTAAATGGTCAGATTGTTTTTGTGGTTGTGAAAATTAAGGATAAAATTCTTCATTGAAAGATGTGTTGAAGCAATATGTTTAACCTCTTCTGCCAAGTGTTGGGCAGAGAAAATTAGGGAGATACAATATCTGAGAAACTCACTATTGCTGCAATATAATATTGTGTGAGAAAAATATTCAAATATCAAATCTGATCTACAGAAAAAAAATGATACCTTGACTTTCCCACCAAATGAAAAATGTTCAGAAGACAAGAGTGACTTGGCCCATGGGAGCAAGTGTCACATATGGGAGCAACCTGGATGGAAGGTATCTTATTTTAAGGAGATAAAGGTCTTCACACATCAAAGTCACGAGGTTTTTTTTTCTGGTGACTTTAGTTTGACATGATTATATATGGCTGCATGTAATAACAGCAAGACAGATCTGTAACTTCAATTTAATCCTGTTTTCTTTTTCTTTTCTATTCTATTTTATTTTTTTCTATTTCTATTTTTCTATTTCCTATTTCTATTTTTCATCCACATTTCAGAGATCGTAAGAGACATTCAAGAGAAAAGCAGTCAGAGGAGGTTTGCTGTGGTTTGTGCATTGTTTGTGAAGTGTGAACGCCTTATTTCAGTACTCATTTTTCACATTTATTCCAGGCCCTTGTCTTCCAAATGTTTATGTGCTCTGAGATTGAAGAGATGTATAAACAAGCAACTCTGTCCATGGGTGATGAGGGTTTTCTCAAGAATTCTTCCCAAGAAAGAGCCATAATTGGTCTTTTGATATTCTCAGTGTAATCTCATGGAAATTAAAGGCACAGGGGCTGTTGTCTAATGGGCAGCCTTACTGAGAATCACTGTGGCACAAATATTCAGTTCCCAAGCCTGTGATTGTGTTGGGAGCACAGGGCTAGATCAGAGCCCAGTGTAAACCTCCCCTTCTGCTCTGACTGAGTCCTTTAAACTCAATTTCTACAGGAAAGTCCCAGAAAAACACCATGAGAAGTAGTCCCAGAAACCCTAATGAAATACACACACTACAGGTTGGGAGAAAATTAAACCACATGTGACAGAGCACATGGTCAGGGCAAAGTCTGGGCTCCCACAGGCACTGAGAGACCTGCAGAAGGTACAAAATACAGGTTGTTGGTCCTGTAGGGATTCCTTCCCTGGGCATTAGGGGAAGTTCAGTGAGCTCATGAATGTCAGATTTACCAAAGGTGAGCTCTAGGCCTCTCTCTTAGGCAGAGGACTTGGCTAGACTTGGTGGAAATTGAAACTTCCACATCCTCTTGCTCCTCAGGGGAGCTCCATCCCAGGCTGCATCTGGTAGACTTGGCCCTGCCAGGCTCATCCTGGCACTGGTTCCATCCTCAGCAGCACTGGGGCTTGTGTTCAGTCCTGGGCTCAGTGCAAGACTGCTGGTTGGCATTACTTGGTGCCCTTCATACATAGAAGTTGTTTCCTTATTTCCTACAAGTTGTGGAAGCAATTGTGGGGCCTCTGTTTCTGCTTTAAATGCATTATTTTGTATTATACCCATTAAAAATAATGAATTTGGGAGGGGTCACAGCATGAATATCCTGACATAGCTATGTTTGGAATTATAGATGGAGCATAAGAGATTTCTGACCTAATTTTTTTGCAATTTAATTCATAATTATCCTTGAGTACAGTTGGCCATCTTCATTACTTTGCTTCTACTTGCCTGAATAGTTTTTATCTTAGTTTCTTGCTGTCTGTACGTCTGTGTTCAGAGCAGTGGTGAGGAGGCAGAGTTGGTACAGCTGAGCAGCTGCTGCTGCACTCAGTGCTGTGTGAGCCAACTGCTCCCACTGTGAAATGCTGCTCTGTGCTGCTCACTGCTGCTCGCTGCTGTCCTGGGGACACTGGCATTTGCCATTATTGGAGGACCTCAATTACATGTGTCACTGATTGCACACAGTAAAGGACACATTGTTCTGATGGTTATGTGACTTGTGTTACCACTGCAGCGCAATTTGATTAGGTTCAGAAGTGATTTTTGGACTTGTTTTGAAGTACTGAATTCTCTCCCTTGCCTCCTCCATTCAATTTCTATTTTCCTTCTGCCAAGAGAAAAAATTCTTCTTATTGAGAAATTCTCATTTGGAAATAATTCTTGTGTCTTTCTTTTTCCAATTTACATGCTATGTTTTGGAGTCTAAAATCAGAAACTGTGAAATGTTCTTTGATGTGATTTGCAATTTGTCTTCCCCTCTGAGGATTGACACTTCCTCTGTGACAAAGCACCCCGGTGAATGTGACCTGCATCTCAGGCTAAAGGATCTTGTGCTCTAGTTTGTAGTTTGATGGATGCCATTCACTTGTGGTGGGTTTTTTTTTGTTTGTTTTTGTTTGCTTTGCTTTGTTTTGCCTTTTTTTTTTTTTTTTAAGAAAAGCCTTTCATTGTTCATTATCTCAATTTTTAGATTTTAAAATATGCTAATCATTCTTGTGAGGACTTTCACCAAATCCTGTGTAAAGAGGCATCCAGCTTTAGGGTTAAAGGCTGCCATCTATATTTATGTGGCATCTCATTCTAGATATGAATGGACTGAAGCTGAAATCAGCCAAGTATCTCAGTTGGGTGCATTTGTAGAACTTCTGACAATAGCTGAACCTGAAGCTGACAGACAGCAAGTACTATTTTTACCTCAGGAAACTTTGAAGACACTTTGCTGTGGCTTCATTTTCTGCTTCAAAGTTGAGAAATGTCCAGACTTCTGTTGAAGAAAAGAAGACTGAGGCTGTCTTAGGGTCAGCTGTCCGTGACAAAACCATTTCCTAATACTGACAGTGGTTTTAATCCTTCTGCTCAGAGACAATGATTTGGATGTGGTCTGATAACTGATCCATTTAGTGCTCCTGATATAAGCCTTCTGAAAAATTAGATTTAAGAGCTTTTTCACCTTTGGTTCAAGTTTTGGTATGGGTAATAGCTGATTACTCAAGTGCAGTTTTTCTATATATATTTATGCCACATTTCTGTAGTGCAGGCACTAGTAATTACTCCCCAGGTTTTTCATAAAAACCTCCTCCCCAGATCTGAGGATGTGTTCACTGGAGTTTCTACATCTACTGGCAAGGGATGCTTTCCATTTGATGTATTTGAATGTGAAAAGTGTTTTGGTAATAGGCTGTGAAAGATATGGCCAAAAGTAAAATTTTGGCCTCTGCATAATTACATATGAAAATGAAAAAAGGGTTAATTAAGAAACATTAAAGAAAAAAAAAAAAAAAAGAAGCAAGAAACAGAAAGACCTCAGGACCACCAAGAAATAAGACATTGAGTATAACTTGCAAAGACATCAGTATGTATTGAATTAATTGTGTTTTGAAGTCCTTTTTCTAATAATAGTTCATGTTATCCTGCTGCTGTGGGATGTCATTGCTAAATCATTCTTTTTTGTTTATTCACAGACCCCGCAGCCAGTTGAAAACTACATCAGTGAAGGAGAGTTTGAAGACGATCTGAGTTCTTCTACCCCAAGCACAACGGAGCTGGAGGTCCGTGGATCCAGCCAAGAAACAGATGAAGATTATTTTGAAACTGTGTCACATCAGAGTGGATCTTTGTCAGATGTAAAAACTGAGCCTTATGAGAGTGCATCAGACACAGAATCCCTTTCCAGTGACATAACTGGGAATGCTTGCTCAGATTCAAACTGCCTGTTTATTGAAAAAAAACCCCTGTGCTGCAATCTTCCCAAAGAAAAGGCAGAAACCTTCCATGAACTGAAGAGCTCCAGGCAACCAGAGTTCACCCAGCACATACAGCTAGAATTGTCCTCCAAAATAAAAGAAGCACCAAGTAAAACTGAATTTTGCATCCAGTTTGCAGAGTTAGAGGGTGAAGAATTGGGTGATGAAGAGCTAACGTTATCCAGTGATATTTCCATCACAGAGAGCCAAGGCCATGAAGAGAGCATTTTATCACAGGCAAAGAGAAAGTCTGGGGCAGCACTGCAGAGTAAGGCAGAGTTAGAAAACAGGGAAGTGCAGTCCTATACCAACCCAGTACTTGCAGAAAACGATACTGCAAGAGTGAAGGAACATCCTGCAGTATTTAGCATTGCCTGTTTCAAAGCAAACTCAGAAAGTTGTTTGATTTTTCCTGAGGTACAGCAGTTTTCCTTCCAGTCAGATGCAGCACCAAGCTGTAGTTTGCCTAATCTTCATTTTGAAACAAATGAGCCTAACTGTAAAAGTGACACTGAGACATCTGACTGTAAGTGTGAATTAGAGTCTATGTCCAGTATAAAATGCAGCAGGAGGAATTCAGCTGACAGTGAGGACACTTCAGATAAAAGGATAAAACATGGAAGTACAGAGACCATGCTGACATCAGATTCACTCTTCTACCAGAGTTGCTTCAACCCAAAACCTCGGCTACCATACACAAGGTCAGAGATTACAGAAAGTAAAACATGGCACAGTGCACCTGAAAATATCAGTGCTCAAAGGGAGACAGAATGTGTGGTGAGCTGTATTCACCCAACAGACAAATTTAGATGGTCATGTTCCACATTACATCTTCAAGAGCTGGATTTTGAATACACTTGGAAAAACTTAGGAAGGGTAACTGTAAGCCCTGAAAAGGCTATAGAAATAGAGGGCCAGTTTGGCATAAAAAAATCTCTTCTTGATACTGACACAACCTCAAAGGTGTGTCAGGTTTCCCAACCAGCAGCCTCTCCTCAGTGCATTGATTATTTGCACTCTAAATCAGAGACATGTGGCCTTAGCCCAGAGCCAGCTGGTACTTGTGTTGACAGCTTAACACGGAGTGATGCTTGTGAGGACAATCCAAACCAAAAGGAGAAATCCTCTTCCCTGGATTGTGGTCCAGGGATCATAAGCGCTGAGGAACTGACACAAAACAATGAGCACAAAGCTGAAAGAGATCTGGAAGCAAACAGATTCCCATGTGATACTGATGTTGAATCAGACACTGGTGACACTGAGAGCCCTGCAGCTTCACATGCAGGTGTTCCTGCTGGTGTGGAAAGCAGAGACTGTGAGTGTTCTGTAAACTGTGTTTCCAGTACTGCAATACAGCACAAACATTTGAAGGAGAATGGCCTTGAATCTGAGCTGTCAGATATGGAGATTGTGGCAGGAGAAAGATGGGCAGATGATTCTTCTGATCTTGGCTTTGGTTGGAAAGTCCTGGAAACTGCAACACAACCAGATGGCCGTGACAGAGGGGCAGAGCACGGAGAGTCACTGCAACAAAATGCAAGTTGCAAAACCGGTGCCTTAAGGAGCCACTCAGAGCTAGGAACAAATGAACATCCTATTCATAAAGGAAAGGATGAAGAGAGTGTCTTTGCTGTTGAAAGGACTCCCAGATCAGATTATATAAGGCAGGGACGGGATTTAATGGCTACTCCAGAATTAAAGCCTGCCCCAATTATAGTCTCTGTAGAGGAGAAAGGATTACAGTCCAAAACACTGAATGACAACCTTCCTACTGAAGTGGTGGCTGAAACATTGGGAAATGGAGTGAGCAAGGATTTGCTGTCTCCTCCTCATACTGTCAGTAAAGCTCATGGCGAGCCAGAGAGAGTTCTGAGTGAAAGCTGGAACTGTGAAGAACTAATTCTGGCCACCCACCCCATTCCTGGCAGTGCAGAGGTACTCTCTGGTAGGGATGCAGCTGAAGTAAAATCAGAAATTTCAGAAGAGAAAAGAGGGAAAACAGAATCAGTTTCATCCTTAGGGTTCACCTGTAGTAATTCTGCAGTAGCAAGTACCAAACTGGAATTCAGGAATGTTGCTGTACCACTAGGTAGTGATACACTTACTGCAGAAATTCAGACAGATCCATGTGAAAAATCACTCATAAAATCTCCCAGTGGAGGTGGTGTGAGGCTCTCTGAGGATGAGCCCTGCAGGGCAGGGGCACTGGTGACTGGTGCAGTGACACTGGAAGGCAGCAGCAGTGTAAGCAGTGTGTGCCAGGGACATGGTGCTGGTGTCAGCCTTGAAAGGCCCAGCACTGTTAAATCACAGGGTAGAAGTGGTGTGATGGCCTTTGAGGAAGAGCCCTGCAGAACAAATAGGGGTTTTGAATTAAGGACAGAACATTTAGGAAAGTCAGGCTTTAGAAACCCTGGAAGAAGCAATGATCAGGTGTCTAAGGAAGAGGAATTCAAAGCACATCAAAGCACAGAGGAAGGTTTGAATATTACCAGGGCAGTGACAGTGCAAATGAGCAGCAGTGAAAGCAGTTTGTGGCAAGGAGATGGTGCTGGTGTCAGCCTTCAAGGGCCCAGCATGGTCTCTGGACAAGCAGTAGGCAGGCAAGGAAAGGAAATCTGCAATGGCTCAAAGGAAGAAACAGGTATTTGTGAGGAACCCTCTCCTAGGGAAGGAAAGGAGGGCTCTCCTGCAGGACACACCTCTAGCCCCAGCAAAGACAGTGCACTGAGTCTGGATGTGTCTGATGTCTTTGATGAGTCTCTGAACAGGGAGACTCACAGCACTTTCATGCTGGGCCTCGACAGTGTAAGTACCTGCAGCACTAACAGCGAGGAACTGGATGAGAACTCATCCCACATCCTGGGGAGTAACAGCAGCCTTCATAAAGCTGTACAAAAGCCAACAAAGAGTGAGAATAGTGGGAAAACTTCCAGGTTTTTAGTATTCCCAAAAATGACATCTTTCAAGAAAACTAAGCCTGCCTCATGGGAAAATCAGGGAAGCAGCAGTATCTTTGGGAGCAAGGCTAAGATGGAAGACCTGGATGTTGGGAAAGATGACGAAGACACTGCAAGTTTATTGTCTTTCAGAAGTTGTTCTTCTGGTTTAGTCTTCCACAGGAAGGAAAGCTACACCTCTGAGTACTCTGATGATGATGATTTATTTTATGAGAGACCTGCAGGATTTTTCAACAGATTAAGCCTGAGGAAGGCCTCTGGCTCTGGTCGGATACTGATGGAAGATGCAGATCGACAAGTTTCAGGTTCATCTGAAAACAATGACAGTGAAACTGCGGAGCATTCAGGGATTAGAAAATCATTCCCTGAAAATGAACACAAAAGAAACAAAACCCCTGAGGGTAAGAAATTCAGGACAAGGTTAGCCTTGGCACACAAATCCCTCTCAAGCTTATTTGAGTCTAAATGTCCAGAAAAGGAAAACACTGAGCAAAGCTCAAAAGCATCAGTGAAAAATGAAAAGGAGAAAGCCAAACTTCGCCATAGCACCTGGAAAGCTTTACTAAAAAGCAAGGAGGCAGATGGACTAAAACGACCTGTTTTAGTAAGTTTATCATCCACACAGGAGAGTCTTAATGCAACTGGTGGCCATGCGTTAACACCAGAGGAGCGACAGCATAGTTCCACTTTTTTTAAAACAGAAACAGATAATGGCTCCTTAACAAACTCCAACTATTTTGACAGCTCTATGGAGCCTGTTGATGTCTCTTTACCTGCACGTATGTGGAGAAGACGAATACAGTCCCATGACTTGGGTATCAGATACTCACAGAGTTCAGACTGTGATGAACAGCAGGAGGTTCTGAGCAACAGTTTAAATACTTCTCTAGAGGAATACTGGATGAAATCTCCATTTAGCCCCACGGACTTGCAGCTGGCATTTAGTCAGTCAAGTCCATCATGTCCCCAGCTCTCCAGTTCTGATGGTAAAGACATGCCTTGTAGGCCCATGAGTCCCAAACCTCAGAGTTCACGATCCACTTCCCAGCACAAGAACTTCCGTTATCCTGGGCGAGCATGTGCCGCTTCCATGATCTCTCTCGGGAGCAGCTCTGCAGTGGAAAGCAGTCTGGAGGCTCCTGAGAGACCGAAGGCTCTGAAACCCAGAGGAAGTCTCTTACACTCGTTGGATGACTTCCAGAGGGATGACAGTGGCATAAGCAGTCAATCCCAGATCAGCTTAAACACAGCTTCTTCCATTAGTGACATGCTCCAAGATGAGGTGAGTTTTGTCATGGAATGATCCGGGAGTGGTTGGGTTTGCTGTCTTTTGCTTTACTATGGTTTAGGAATTCCAGTGAAACTCTTCAATGGCTCAATGGCTTGTTGGTTAGAGTGCATAAATATTCCTCTTGGTCTAAGATAGGTGGCACTACTCATTCTTTCTGTTTCTGTTCAAGACTGTATGAATTGACGAGCTCTTAAAGGGAGGATTTGCTACAAAAACCTGAAGGAATGGAGCAATTACAACACCATTAAAGATTGTACAGACATCACCCTGTGTTCATCTCAGTTTTAAGCTGAGTTTTAGCCCTCTTAAGGCATAATTGAGCCTTGTAACTGGTGTATAGTAAATAAGTTTCTCATTGTGAAAGGCAACAAAGATATCAAGTCCTACGGCTAGCAGTCACTTTTTAAGAAGTAAAATCACTTTCTTTAGACAATGAGTAACTGCCTTTTGAAGTACCATGTGTCTTTTGCAGTCACCACAAGTACCTTTTGGTTGCTACTAGAAGTCCGCTTTTGTCTTCAGAAAAAAAACCCCAAACTGTAAGCTCAGGGTCTCATTTCCATGTCGTATTTTGTTCTAATCCAGGTAACACATTAAATCCTTTGCACAGGCTGAATCTCATGGAACAGATTGGATCGTCAGTAGGGATTTCATGATTGGCAGAGACCTCTAAAAGCAGAGACTTCCTCCATCAGTAGGCTTTCAATCCCAGAGAGGATTTCCCAAGTTGTAAGTGGCTGGGAGCTTAGGAATCTCTTTCAGTGGCTAAGCACAACCCCCAGAGTGACTGAGACTGAGCTGTAACTGAGACCCCAGAACATGCCTTGACCATGCTACTTTTTCAGCATTATTACTGATAAGTTTTGACATTAAGAAATGGGAGAATAATTTTTTTTTTAGCAGATTGTCAAAAGTGGCACTTGAGAGAGTGCATGAACTCTTGCATACCCAAAGCAGACAATTTTCAGAGGGTTTATTAATCTGGAACCACTTGATCAATTCATAACAGCTGAGAGCTGCTTGTGTTCAACTCAAATGAGCAAATGAGCCTGCACAGCTTTTGCTGCTGTGGTCTTTTGCCTCTCACATTTCAGCTTCCATTAAACCTTTAAGATACCCTCCAAAATGGTCTTATCCTGCCCTTTCTCCATACATTTTTACAGAAACTTCCTGGTTTTTTGTATAGAAACAAAGATAGGCAGAACCATTGCTTTATCTAGCCAAGTCTTGAAAACCTCTATTGCTGAAGGTTTCACTGCCTCTCTGGGAAATATAGTCCTTGAGAAATTTTTTTTCCTAATCCTCAATAAGAACTTTCCAAGCTGCAGTTTATGGCCACTCTCTTGTGGTGTTCTCTGGCACTATTAAGAAGAGCTTGGTTCCATTATCCATGCAAATACAAAATTATTGGTGACTACTCTTACACTGCCTTTAGTGCCCTCTTATCAGCTTGAATAAACCCAGCTCTTTCAACCTCTCCTCATATTCCCAAGTGAAAGTGTTTTTGTTGATTGGCTTGGGGTTTTTCTCTAAAGCTGTCTGGAATCCAAAGAAGTGTTTGGGTGGCAGTATGAGAAGTGAGAGCTGTAGTATCAGAATTCCAGGGGGAAAGGGGAAGAGAATTAGCCTTATTCCCTACTGCGCTTAGCTTTATTTGAAAATCTTTTGTTCCATGGGCATCAGCTTAACCTACAAACTTAATACTGCACACTGCATTCCAAACAAGAGACTGCAGCCTAGGAAAAAGCAAGAGACTTGGACTATACACACTGTCAACAGATGAAGCCTCTCAGAGGATGAATAAAATCACTGACCTGTAAATTACAGCTCAAAAGAACATCTAGAAAAGAATGTAGAGATGAGGCATGTGTAAAGCCTTGAAAAGGCAAGTCTACATGCTATAATGTAAGCATTAGGAGCAAATAAATAATTACTTAAATTGATTGTAGATTAAATTATTCAAAGAAAACCATAAAAAATTTAAATGGTATCTAAGACATATAAAACCAGTTTCATTTTCCTGATTTTTCTGAAGGCTGCAGAGTATGATATCTGAATTTGGACAAATGCAGCTGGAATCCAGAAATTAATGCAAATGTCTCAGCTTTCAAAACACAACATCAAATATATTAAAATATATAGAGATTTAATTATTTCCCCTTTCATGATGTTATGAAATGTAGTAGAATTGCACCCTGGATTTTTTAAGCAAAGCTATATTTTCAGGAATCTCTGAAAATACAAGAGACACTGGGAAAAGTACATTTGTAGTATTAAGTCTTTCCAAAATAATTATAATCTATAAGCTAAGGATGGCCTTCCTTATGTATGCTGCTTTCTAAAGAGATCATAAAATTCAGTTTATTGGTGAATTTGAAGAAAAGTCTTTTTCTGTTCCACATAAGTAAAGACATTAGTGCAAAACATATCTGTAATAGTGAAGCTCTTGAGCTCACTTCCCATTGTGCCCTCCAGGATGGGGATTTGTATTTATTCCCCAGCCAGGTATTTTTATAGCTGTGTCAGAATTATCTGTGTTAGTGCTGTGCCAAACTGCACTGGATCATCTCACCCTGGACACTCTGGCTGCCACTCAGGTAAGTAACTCATCCAAGCCTGGTGGAGCACACACAAGCTCCTCTCTCATTTCCTGCTAATGGTTAACATTCTCCTTGTTTCCTCCAGAACAAAGATTTTATGCTGAAAACAGCAAAACAGAACCATTACCAGTTTGCCCATCTGCCAGGCCCTTCACTACATGTTTAATTAATCTGTTCATGGCACGATTTTACTTTCATAATTGTGTTACTCAGCAGACAAGAGCAAACTGTCCTAAAATGTCCCATGTTTGGAATTCACGTGTTCTTCTCCTTGCTCCTGTCCAGTGAGGTGAGGTTAGGCACAAAACACCTTTTCCACACAATCTATTCTTTCTAGACTGTGCCATGTCTTACAAGAGGCAAAGAAGAATTGACCTGGAATTGTTAGTTAGTTAGTTGAAAATAGATAGGAAGTGCCTGCGATGGTTTGAGGGTTGTTTTATTTGGGTTCTTCAAGTGATCTATGAGAATCTGGATGGATACTATTGTCAGGACACAGGATTTTTTTTTGTCATGAGACTCCTGAGTTCACTCATTCCCCAGTGTTGTTATCTCCTACCTCAAATATTATTGAGTCTCACACTGATGCTACCTGGAGTAGTAGCTGGTTGCCTGAGGGGACACTTGATTTCAAGTTGTTCTAGTATAAAAACTGTAATTTTGTGCAAGCACTCAAATGGGAGTGAAGGACAAAGCTGTGCAATTCCTTACTCTTGGCCCAGCATCAAACAAATAAAATGGAAAGTGTAAAGAGCACATCAGGAAGCACAGGGCTTAATATATCAGACCTACAAAGCCTTTTCACATTGTATAACTGAAGTACAACTGGAAAACCAGAAACAGACAAGAGATCATTTTTGTATTTTCAGAGACATCATCTGTCTTTGTAAACAATATTATACAGACAGAGTGACCTAAATCCTGGTGGAATGTCAGTGTGATATGCCATCTAAAACAAGAGTGAACAGGGCACTGTCCTGAGCACAGGGAGTGTTTATGGCACCCTCAAAGGATGGCAGAGCTGCTGCTTCAGGGTGGAGTGCTCCTAAGTGTTTTCTTCTGACTAGTTCTGTGGTGAGAAACAGGGCTTTGCCATCTTCTGTTCAAACTGACTTGAAGCAAAGTTTCCATCCAACAAACCCTGTGTTTTCACCTGCAGTGTGTAAAACAGGAGTCTAAGCAGCCATGTCAAACAGCACCTGGAAAGAGGCCAAATAAGAAATGGGTTCCCCATCGCAAAAGGAGGCCCCCCCGGGTCCCACCATGCCCTGTGTCCACCCTGGAGAGCAGAGCCTGCAGGCTCTCCTTCCTTGCTCCAGATGAAAAAGCCAAGGAGATCCCAGAGAGGAGGAGGAAGAGACCCAAACCCCTCTATAAGTGCTTCAGCTTCGATGATGTTTGGATGGAGAGAAATCAAAAAAGGAAGCTAGAGAAGGAGACACAGCCAGAGGGAGGGGTTCAATTGCAACATCTCCCACAGGACCCCTCACAAGTAAGAAGCCATCCACCGACCTTCTTGTTCCCTGGCATTGTCTTCCTCTCTGCTCCAGCTGCTTCTCTCTGCTGTCATCATATTCCTGTCCTTACCCTTTGTCTGGTACCACTTCTGTCAGTGTTTCTGTGGGCCTGGTACTCTGTGGAGACTGCAGAAACACTAAACTGGCCCTTGAGTGATAACCTCTGAAGGTGGTGGGTTTCTCAGCTTCTGAAATCTAACAGTTCGTGCCCTGTGAGATGTTGTAAATAGAATGCAAGAGAATCAGGTTGCTTTGTGAACTGAGTGATGGGAAAGGCAAAGAGCAAATCAAAGTTTCTTTAAATCAATATAAATTAAACTGATGAAATTTCCTTCTGTGCCCTGTGGTGTTGCCCTATTATAACTTTAATAACAGACTTCTAAATTAGATTTCCCTTGTATCTGAGGCCAACTCCACAACTCCTACTGAAGCAAATTCCTGCTGTGAAACACTCAAGAGAACATTGCCATTGGATTTGTAGCTATTAATATTCTCCTCTCCACTGAGGGAGACCTTCAGTTCAGCATTATGATTGCTTGTGAAAAACTTTGTTGGCTGTTGTGACTCACACTGATGGCATCTGTTACTTTTGGATTCAGAGCTAAGGTCTGTTCCCTTCAGGGAGAGTCACAAATCTCTGTCCAAGAGCCAAAATTAGCCTTAATACATACAAAAGAATACTTCCCTAATACTTCTGGGGAAAAAAGACATGAGATCAAGGGATGCTCTATGAAGCCTCTCACAATAATATTGAGAAAGTTTCTGATCAAGCTTGAAATCACGTAGCAGCTACTCAAATAAAAGCTTACCTCAGGGGTTTCTGTTTTGGTCTGTTATCTGTATTTGTTTCCCTTTCTCTTTGTTGTCCTGGTTGCCTGTCTCTTGTTGTTATTACATTAATGTTATTACAATTTTGGAGAGGAGATGAGGCCTCAGTAGTCCTGTCACCACTTCAGAATATGCTTGAGCTTATGTGCACAGATAGTTCTGTGAATGGTGAAGGGGAAACATTGGCCTGCCCACTATGGCTTGCCCAGGGAAAACCTGTCCACCTGGGAGAGCTCTCATCAAACTGACAGAAAGGGACAGTGAGCCAGGGCAATCCCAGAAACAGGGCTTCTGAAAAACTGCCCCCTGTTCTCTTCTTCTCAAGGAAAGAGATAAAAAATCTGTGCTATTTTGTATGAGTTGGGCTCTTCAACACAAAGTGTTGCCAGTTGCTGCGTGGACGAGTGCTGGATATGATTCTCTGGTGTGCTTCCCACTCTCAGTTCAATGAGGATGCTCCCCCGGCTCAGCTCCCTACTCCATATGTGATGGAGACAATGAGTATTGCTCTTGAGGTTTGTGTGTGTTAGGACAAAAAAATTTAAAAACTAAATGACTTGGGTTACTTCCCTACCTTGGCTGAAGTTCCGAGTGCTCTGTGCTGTGCAGGGATGAGGTGGGCTAGTAAAAGTGAATGCCTGGCTTACACAGGGTCAGGGATTAACAGAAATCAGTGAAACATACTAAAAATATTTCTCACAATTCCTCGACAAGCATGGGTAGTGATGGAAATCTAGCCCGTGCTGCAGGGCATGTGGGCCAGCACTGAGAGCATTGAGGCTGCTGAGAGGAGTGACCAGTTCCCTCAGGTAGCGTCCCCTGGAGCCATCAGATTACACAGTTGAATCATGTTTGCTCTGCTGATTGACTGCACATTTGGAGGCTGCCAGAAAACAGCTTCTCCTTTAAGCATTTCCACCCTTATTTTCTGGTGCAAACTTACCTCTAAATTGCAATCAGATGCATGATGATGTGCAGCTGCCCCTGTGCCCACGAGGCCTCTCTGAACATTGCCTGCCCAGGGGGCTCTTGGGCCTCAGTTGGTTTTCTGGTTCATTCCTCTCTGGGTAGAAGCGTGTAGGTAGGTTTGGGGTTTATACTGCTTTTGTCTATTTGTGTTATGTAGGTTATTGACAATTTAATCTTTAGGCAGGCCAAGAAAGCAAAATGCTGGTTGCAAAATGAGAGGACTAAGGGGATTCAAAGTCTCTCTTTTATGCCCATATAACTGAATTTCTTGGCCTGTGCTTTTTATTTATAATAGTAACCACACAGTGAAATTTTAATATTATTTTATTCTGTCTTTGCAATGCTCTGGTCCTGTAATAGTGCTGGTTTATTCATACTTCCAAGTGTCTTAGGAGTGCTGTCACAAGCTGCAGTGTCTGAGGGCAGTTTTAGAAGCGTGCTGAATCCCTTTTGATAGGAAGGAACAAGTTATCCCAAAAGAAGCTCTGTAAGATGTTCATTGTCTGTTGTGGTTTTGTGACTGCAACAAGGGGACTGTATGGGGCTTTGGAGAGCTGACATTACAAGTCTGATGTTCTCTGACACAGCTGCCTTGGGATGAGTGGCTTTTGTTGTGACAAGTCAAATTGTGTTAAGTCAAGATCAGGTCAGCCCACAAGGTGATGTAATGCTGCAATATTGGGGAAATAACTTAATGGGGCAGAGCAGAGAGGAATTCTTGCTTATTCAAGTGCTGATTTCTGATCCCACTATCATTAAGATCAATGTACAGAGAGGAGCATAATGGAAATATAAGACTACTCTGAGGGCTGACGATTGGGACAGGAAAAAATGGACAAACAATTAAGAAACTACCTACAAGCTAAAAAACAAAAAACCAAAAAAACAAACAAACAAAAAAACCATTTAAAATGGCAGCTCCAAACAATTCTATATATTGTAGATTTTTTTTTTGCTTAGGTCCAGTAAGCTGCTCTGCTTTCTTAAATGGGTACAGCTTGTGAAATTTTCCAGTCAAACTCAAAGCTTGACCCAGCTGTCCCTTATAATGAGATGCTGCCAGTAACAAGCTGAGCAGCTTCTGATCTCGGGCCTTAAAGTCTTAATACAACACCCCCCATGCTGCCCACCCCAAGGGGAAGAAGAGAAACATAGCTGTGGATGAATCTATATTATTTTGCTTGTCCATAGGCTATGCCCTTCACATGGTGATGGGTTTCAGGCTGTAGCCTGGGGTCTTTTCCTTGTTTTTAATGCAGGAGAAGTTCCCTAACTGGAGCAGAGACAATGCCCCAAACCACTGACATATGGAATGCTGTAATGGCAACGGGCTCCCTTTTGGGAATTATTCTTGTTCTGAACTGCCTGTCTATTGCCATGCAGTACTTCCCTGTTTTGACAAAAACTTAAACCCTGGCTCTTAAGCTTGATGCTTCTTGAGTGCACAGCAATAGAAGCACAGACATGGCTTCTACGTGTGTTTGTTTGAGCACAGTTTGTGCACTGCCAAATTAGAGAGATTCCTAAAAGGCCCATCAGGGGGCTATACCCAGAGGGGGTATCGCGCAGAAAAAGCTCTTTTATTTTGAAAGAGAAATGAGAAGTAGTGAAAAATAGATCTTTAGCTCATTGCCCTGAATGTTAGTTCTAGAAATCTGATTTTACCCCATCCAAAATAAGAGCAAATGGAGTTTTGTTGTGTAGTACCATGCTTTGAGCACTGTGGATAACTCAGACTTTAAGAGGGAAATGAATATGCTTTGAGAAGGAGATTTAATGAGAAACACCTCCCCACAATGTGCACCTGACAAGGCATGGATATACAACAGAGACCCAGTCTATGCCTGGGGCTGAACTGCTGTGCACAAGAGCATAGAAATAACCTCTGGTAGAAAATACAGGAGAGAGGACCTTTACTATGGTCTGCTCCTTCATTTCTCATCCTCTCCCTTGTAGGTTGTGCAATCCCTGCCCACATGCTGCTAACACTGCTGAAAATGCTTCTTCTCCCAAGTTAGGGTTGTACAAGCTTCCATGCTATAGGATTCAAATGATGCCTGTACCAAAATTTGCGCTGATGTCCCAGGAATTAATAACAATGAAGCCTGCAGTTGTAACAGCCTTAGGCCAGGGTTCTGCTGTCTAGTCTTAAACAGAACAATAATGCTTTCTATCACCTTTCATGTAAATAACCTAGACTTTACCTTTGACATTTTCAGAGCTGTGGCCTAGTAAGCTTGATTTTCACTGTCACCAGAAGAGTGTGTGTTCCCACTAGATCTTTGCTGTGACTTTTCTAGAAAAACAGGCACTGCTCAGGTTAATTTGAACAGGGTTCATGCTATCCCTCAAGAGATGGTGATTTGTGCCAAAGTATTGGCCGCGTTCTCTTTGTTTCAGGAAAGTTAAGTCCAGGAATAGAAGACCAAACCAGGCATGGAGCAGCAGCACTCTCAGCTGTGTGAGCACTGTGTGCTGGAAAGGAGGGTTTGGCTAATGGCCTTTTACAGGAGAGGTTTCAGCATCAAGGCTGGTCAGCAGACTTTCTACTCACAGGACATGCTATGGGCTAGTGGGGAGAGGGAGAGTCCTCAGTGTGCCAAGTTCCTGGCTCAGTGAAGGGTGGATATGTTGTAATGGAATGTCATTGGCAAAAGGAAAGGGGCAATGGTGATAGAGATGAAAAACTGTCTGTGCTTACTGACCAGCTGATTTCTCAGCCACTGATGTTTTCTGCATGTGGCAGCCACAGGAGAGAAAAGAGAGAAAAGGAAAAAGGGATAAAAGTATATCTGCAGCATGCCTTAATTACTACATTCTGTTTTAGAGGCCATGAGCTTTGTGTATGTACCTCTATGTTTTCCCCTTTAAACCAGCAAAAGTTAGTAATTCAATGAGATCTGGCAGTGGTATAGAGTTTTCAAAGTTTTATTAAGTTCTATAACTTTTATAAAGTCAATCAGCCAGGTAGAGGAGAGTGTGTGAATTCTTACTTGTACATTTAGCTGAAGAGAAAAATGTTGTTATCCACATTCTATATGGCTGGGGACTGGTACCAATAAATCTCTGAAGGGAAAAGCTTTATTTTCATGTCAAATACCAGAAGAGGACCTATTAGTCACAAGGCTTCAGGAATAGTTCTGTAGCTGAGGGGATGACTCCTTGTAGTGATATGAAATCCCCTCCACTAGGGAGGAGTGAAACCTTCTGTGAATGGAGGTGTGTGTGGTTGTATGTGAAGTATGAATCTGGTACCTGCTTATCCACTTCTGTTCTTATAACCTTGCAGTTTTCCTTGCCTTCTCACTGATTTCTAATGTTTCTAGCCATAATCATCCATGTGTGTCCACTAACATACTGCTTACTTACATGGGCAGGTATCAGAGCTGGGAAGAGGTGCTCTGAGATGAATGCTGTATTTTGTCCTACAGGGTATCTAAACTTAAAGTTTGTTGCCTTTGTTTTCCCTGTTCTCTTGCAGGCTGGAATAAGTCCATCCATCACATCTCCTGTTGCCTTTGATATCCTGCCACTGAAGCTGCATCCGTTTTCCCAGAGCACCCCGACAGGCCTGGACTGCGTGGGCTGGAAACGGCGCATCTCTGCTCCCGGTGTGTACGCTGGCCTGGCTGGGTGGGAACGAGGAGAGAGTTAAGCTCTGGTTTATTGAATGTAGAAACTATGTGATAAGCATTCTAACCTGTTCATGATGATTGCTGCATCCATGTCTTAGCAGAAATCTGCTTTAGAGTTGAATTTTTCATGTGCTTTTCACATTTGGGTTTCTTTTCTCCCTGAGTGGATGAACAGGGTGCTGTTTAAAGGCATGGTCAGTTTTTAGTGAAGAAGAGATTGCTCCTTGCAATTATGGTATGCTTGATGTAGAAACATTGTGTTTTCTCATGAGAACTCTGTCTCACCTATGATGATGTCACCTCTATTACACTCTTGAATTAGGTTTCTGCACAGGAAACAGGCTCAGCCTGGTGTTTGCTGAAGAGCACTACAGTGAGTATGGTGAGGTTCCTCTCAGGTTGCTAATTAGGCACTAAAGCAAGTAAGTGAGCCTGTAAAGATAGAAGCTTCCTGTACTTTAAATCCCCCTAAAGAAAAAGTATGCTGTGTTTTCATGAGGAGTGCACATGAAGTATCATGTCTGCTTCATTTCTGATGACTGACACTTTCTCAGAATTAAAACGTAAATTGCACAGATTATTAAACTGTGAAATGTATCTTTGCCAGGTTTTTAAATTCTCCACCTGACAGTGCCTGCCCAAACACTGCAGATATCTCTATCACAGCACTTTGGGCTGGAGTAAGGAAAACAGAATGCAGAGGAGTTGTTGGCGGTTAGGAACCTAGCCAGGAAAAGCCAGCCCCAGTTGGGTGCCAAACTGCCATTTCTGCCTCAGAAGGTCTCTGTACCATCGATTAAACCCTGCTGGAGTTACCTAATTAAGCGACAAAAACATTGAACTAATTACATCAGAGTTGAATGATCATAGTATTTTGTCAAGCAAAACTGACTTGTTTTCTGACGCTTTGTGCAGCTCATGCACAGAGTCATGAGGCTTGATCTGGAAATAAGAAAACTATTTATTGTTGTGGTGTTGAGAGCCTTGCCTTTGCTCTCTCAGCACTGAGGGTTTTGATCACTTGCTATCCCAAGCATCTGGTGCTGCCCCAATGCTTAGGACCAGCTCACTGGCTGAATTAAAAAAGCTGTAGCTTTACTCCTTGGAAATCCCAGGTGGAAACCCATCGTTGTCAAGCTGTCTGTGCATCTCTGCCATCAGCTGAAATCCCTGAGCACTGCTGTCATAGAAGTACATTCTGAGTCACAGCTGAGACAAATTTCATGGTTGTTCCCAACTGGGACACGTGGGAGTTAAAAGATATGTATGAATTTCTGAGGGTGAATAGGGGAAGTAAATGTATGCAGACTGACCAGCTGGCAGTGCTGTAGGTGTTTATATGCTGTCTAGAAATGGGGCCTGCAACCTGAATCATCTGTGATTCACACAATATTCCTGAGATAGGTACAAGTGAATTTCATACCACGACCTAAGCCCGGACCTCAAAAATTTCTGAGTAAATGTAGCACAACAAATGAAATAGAGCAGAATCATTTTTTCACCACCAAATCCATGCTCCTGGGAAAGGAAACTGATGGAGAGAGGAAACAGAGGTTCTTCTACCATAGCCATCTCTATTAGCTTCTGCATGTGGGCTTCATTTGAAGCATTTTGGGGGAGATGAATGTGGACACGTGTCCTGCCTGTGGTAGGATGTGTATGAGAAGAAAACTGCAAGTTTCTGAAGTAATATTCTGAAGCTGATGTGTCAGTTTTAAGATTGAGGCAACAGTAGTGCAGCAGAACACCCTCTTTGATTGTTGCACAGCTTTGTTGTGATACCTGTTGCTTTTGACAGAGCTGTAGGGCATGTAAAATAAATATAAAATAAATTGTCAATTCATTTAACCTAATTTTAAGATTTCCAACTCCAAAGCTGCAGCTGCTTGTATTAATGATCCCAGTCTATGCTTTAGTCATAAAAGACACTGGATATAAAAATATATCCAATGCTACTAGATACTTCCATGTTGAAAATATGGATAAATTTCCCACTCCCAAAGTCTGCACGACATCCCCTTTTGTAGGGAATGCTGCAGAGACTGTGAGGGATGGAAGATGGAGGCCTCTGTAGTTCTGCAAGCGTGAAATGCTGGCTGGGATGGTCCCAACCCAAAAGGTGCCACTCACAGCTCCCACACGCTGTCATGCACCTACCCAGGGGCTGGGGACAAGGGCTGGGGACAAGGGCTGGGGACAAGAGCTGGGAGCCCCCGGCGGGGAGGGGCGGGTGAGCCCCTCCAGCACCCCCAGGGCAGCGAACTGCGCCGCTCTCTTCACTCATCGGGGGCGCCGGAACAGTTCGGAACAGGTTTCTTGGCTGCACACGCGCTTCAGCGGGGAGCATTGGTGAATATCTAGTGTCTTTCCCCTTTAGTTCACTGAATATTCTGATTTGGAAGGGACATAAAAGGATCATCAAGTCCATCTCTTGGCCATCCCCAGGAGCCACACCATGTGCCTTGTCCAAATGCTTCTTGGACTCTGGCTGGCTTGGCACTGGGACCACTGACCTGGTGACCAACTACCCCCTAAGTGAGAAGAACTTTTCCTAATATCTAACCTAAACCTCCCCTGATGCAACTTCAGGCCGTTCCCTTGGGTCCTGTCGCCAGCTGTCAGAGAGTTCATTGTCCCTCTGCTTCCCTGTGTGAGCAGGTCTGACTGCAATGAGGTCCCCCCTCAGCCTCCTCCTTTTCTGGTTGTCTGGGTACTCCCATGTCTTCATTTGTACCTTTCAGTCTGTTCCTTACTGCCAGTTTAGGAAGCACATCACTTCCTAAAGTAGATATGGGAATGCTTTTCTGCTTTTTTTCAGCCTCTGAATACCTGGTGCAATACGTTGTGACACTCCAGGAAAGGGGCAGGAGGGAAGGGCCTAATATGCATTGGAGAGAGCAGTAGCAGGATAACGAGGTTTTGGATTAAAGCAGTGGACCAGCATGTTTGTCTTTTAGGTTTTGAGACCTGTCTTCTCCTTCCCCATCTCTTCTGAGTCTGATATTTGTTTATTTATTAACTGAAGACTGCCTATAGTTGGGGATGCTGCTGGGGTGCTGTTTGGACAGTGGCTACAGCTGTGAGAATGTAGCTGCAACAAGGCTGAAGCCAGGAGAGGAGCAGTTCTGGTTGTGAGAGCTACCAGCCCATGGGACTAGAGCAGAAGGAACATTTAGGGCATATGCTGCCATTTCTGAGCTTTTCCTTAGGGATTTTCCAGCAGGAGGCAATCACAAGGTAACACAGTGACAGACAGACACAGGTAATTGTCTGAGAACTGGAGTTTCTTGACAGCCCTGCTTTCACTGCTATCCATGCCTCTCAGGCAGAGACTTTTCTTTCTTGTGCCAGCTTGCTACCCTTTCTGAGATGTTCCACTCAGTCTGCTTCTCAGAGACTCTGAAACTTTTGGACTGGGACAGGGACACACACATGATCATAAACATCCAGGGTTTGTCATATCCTCATAGAGGGAGGAGCCTGCAACCTGTGTATTACAAGGTAGGTTTGTAGCTGTGCTAGAACCAATCTCATACCTGTATTATTTTAAATCATTATCTAAATGCAGACCAAATCTTTTTGGCAACTTTCCATGTGTTTTGTCAGATTAGAACAGCCTCAGATCTTTGAATTTTCTGCTATCAGATGTCTACAAGAGATGCCCTGGAGTTAGATCACAGAGCTGTGGTTGGTTGTGCCAAGCAGAGAGGCATGAATTCCCTGTGACTGATGTGTGCTGATGAGGAACACACTGGTGGCCTTGGAAATCCTGCAACAAGAATAGGCAAGCCAAGTTCTCAAGAGCTGTATTTTTTGTGGATAGTCTGGAAAACAGTGACCACTTAGTGATACTGAGTTATCCTCTGGCCTCCCTGGTGTAGTGGAAAGTATTTCTCAGAGGCAAAGGGACTGTTTGTTTACTCAACATCATGTGGACAACTTTCATCTTCTTTTCCCAGCTATAGATGTGCTGTTAAACTCAACGCTTGGCAACAGTTAATGTGAAGATGTTTGACAGCCACTGGAGAAATCTGTTCAAGAGGAAAAATATTAGCTCAATAACAGGACTTCATTATGTCTTATAAATATTTAGCAGTCCTGTAGTTCAGCAAAATAGCAAGCTGAGTTATTTATTCCATTTTTGTCATTTTAGCTCTTGAAGAAAGTGCTATGCAAGTTCCCAGAAGTGTATCATGGTAGCTGTACCATGAAATGTCTGTTCCATCCCCATTAACTAGAAGAGTATAACTCAATTTAAGTGGCTAAAAAATAACCACGTTGCCTGCTGTACACTTTTCACTTTGTCTCTTAATCACAGAAAGATTAGACCCACTATGTCAATCCTGGTTCTGTTTAGCCACAGCCACAAACACTTGCCCTCTGTGAGGTCTTTGATAATATGCTCACTCAAAGGGTTTCATCCAGTCTTAAAAGCAGGGCCTGGTAGTGGCTGAGTTAATGGAAATTTGTCTTAGTAAGTTGAGTGGGATTGTATGTATTAGCTACTGAGGTGAAAGATTTAGCATACCAATAAAAACCTTCTGTGGGGCAAAGAGAGAAGAATGTCCTAGGAAATCCTGAATGATTCTGGTAATCACTGTTCAAAGCTACAAGATTACAGGAGAACTCAGCAGAGGCTAAAAAATCCAGCAGATATTTAGGATCAAGTTGTTCAAGGCTAGATTGACTATCTTTACAAGCTGTGCAGTGAGATTCTTAACTTTAGTTGGAGTCAGTTACTGCTGCTTCAACTTCTGATAACTTCTCTAATGTCACAGAGGAAAATCTCCATGTAGATTTTACAACAACAAAAAAATCTGTAGTCAGTGGAACCCCTCTATGATGGGTTGCAGTCTTGAACTCTAACAAAATTTTGCTTTCCACAATTTGGCTGTGTAGAATTTTTCTTCTTTCCATTCTATTAGAAAATTCTTCTCCAGTGCATGCCTACAACACACGCACATACATAAGGATAA